ATCATTCCTTTCCTTTCTCCTCCATCCCCTCCTCATCCTCAACTTCCAGCAGCAGCAGCAGCAGCAGCAGCAGCAGCAGCAGCAGCAGCAGCAGCAGCAGCAGCAGCAGCAGAAAGAAAAGAAAAGGAACAGGAGGCAGCAGCAGCAGCAGCAGCAGCAGCAGCAGCAGCAGCAGCAGCAGCAGCAGCAGCAGCAGCAGCAGCAGCAGCAGCAGCAGCAGCAGCAGCAGCAGCAGCAGCAGCAGCAGCAGCAGCAGCAGCAGCAGCAGCAGCAGCAGCAGCAAGCAGCAGCAGCAGCAGCAGCAGCAGCAGCAGCAGCAGCAGCAGCAGCAGCAGCAGCAGAGGGGGTGGAGAGGATGAGGAGATGTGACTATGACGGATCAGGTGATGAAAATTGTCGAGGACATTCGAGCAGCAGGAGGCGTCATAGGACCGCAGCACTGGTCACCTGCTCCAACCCTCTTCTCTTGTTGCTGACCTCGCCCTCTCCTCCTATCTTCTCCCTCGTCCTCCTCCTCGTCTCTTTTATCTCCTCAACAACCTCATCTCTGTTACCTTGTCCTCTCCACAGGTCCCTTGTTATCAAGAGCATGTGTATGCAAGAAGACTCGAAGGTTTTCCCTCCTCCTCCTTCTCCTCCTCCTTCTCCTCCTCCTCCTCCTCCTCCTCCTCCTCCTCCTCCTCCTCCTCCTTCTCCTCCTCCTTGTTCACTCATCGATCTTCTCGTCCTCCTCCTCCTCCTCTCCCTCAAGGTCTTACTTTCTTGCAGGGAGCGTATGCTATCATGAAGCAACATATCAAGTGCGGCTCTTCTCTTCTGCATGCCCTCCATCTTTTACGCTTTCCCTTCTCCTCCTCCCCTTTAATCGTGCTCCTCCTCTTCTTTTGCCTCTCTACCTTCTCCTCCTCACTCGCTACTGTGTTGCAGGCATGCTGATCTCGTCTGCTACAACACCCTTATCCGAGCAAGTGTTCGAGCAGGCGACTCGGGTGAGGCTCCTCCTGTCCGATCACATCTCCTTGCCCGCCCTCCTCCGCATACTCGCTTTCCTGCTCCTCTTTCTCCTCTTCCTCGCCTCCATTCCCCTCCCTTCTTGCTCCTCCGCCATTTTCTTTGTTCTCTTCCTTCGCCTTCCCTTCCTCCTCCTTTTGAAACTGACTTGAATTCAGACACTCTCATCCTCATCCTCCGCGACATTGAGCAGCAGGTTCTCCTCCTCCTCCTCCTCCTCCTCCACCACCACCACCACCACCACCACCTCCTCCTCCTCCTCCTCCTCCTCCTCCTCCTCCTCCTCCTCCTCCTTCTATTCCTTCTATTCCTTCCCTTCTCCCTCGTCTGATACCTGGCGCAGGGTCTTGTACCGGACGAGCACACTTCCCGAGCGCTCAGCCAATCAGGGAAGTCAGCGGGGCTGCTCAAGGTGCGGGAGAGGAGGAGGAGGGACTTGAGGGTGAATCGAAGGAAGAGAAGCGAGGGAGGGGAGAGAGGGAGAGAGCAGGGGGAAGGGAGGAGGGGAGGGAAAGGGGCGGAGGTGTTTGGGAAGGAGGGAGGGAGGAGAAGGGGGTCCTGACAGGCAGACAGGTGAGCTCCTTGCTGAGGATGTTCGACGCGAACTTTAAGAAAAGGCTGTTGAGCGTTGTGGAATGAAGAGGATGGGAAGGAGAAGAACAAAGGAGGACAAGAGGAGGGGAGGAGGAGGAGGAGGTGGTGGTGGTGGTGGAGAGGGTTCCGTGGCTGGAGGAAGGAGAAGAGCCAAGGGGGAGAGTAGAACTTGCGGGATTGAGTTCATGAATGAAGCTAATCGCGTGAAAGATGCGAAGAAAACGATTTCAGAGTGGGAGATGCAGGGCAAATGATTTATTTACAGGAAGAGCAGCCAATCAGTTGGTTGTCTACGACTTGTCGAGAACGTTGATAGGCTCCAAGATTCTGATAAGAGACGTGAGGATGGAAGCAAGCAGAGTTGAGGAGGAGAAGGAGCAAGGGGAGCGGGGAGGAGGAGCAGGGGGAGCAGGAGCAGGGGGAGCAGGAGCAGGGGGGGGAGTAGGAGGAAGGGAGAAGAGGACAAGGGAGCAAGTACATGTTCTTGTTGGTCTCGACGACACATCCGTTGAGGATCATCTCATCCACTATGAAGTGAGCCTTGTCCAGCTGAGACATGATGTCCAGCTCACAGACGTTCTCAAAAAACCTGAGCCATCACCTGTCAATGTCCCTTCTCCTCCTCGTCCTCCTCCTCCCCCCCTGATCCTCCTCGTCCTCCCCTGATCCTTCCCCTCCTCCACCACCACCACCTGCTCCTGCTCCTGCTCCTGCTCCTCCTGCTCCTGCTCCTGCTCCTGCTCCTGCTCCTGCTCCTGCTCTTGCTCCTGCTCCTGCTCCTGCTCCTCTCCTTTCTCGCTCTGGCTCGTCCCTGTGTTCAACATCTTTCTCTCCGGCTTCCTCTCCTTCCTACCTATCCAGCGTTTCCACAAGTGCGTGAATCAGCTCCAGGATTGCCAGCTCGTTTTCATCCTGAACCAACGAGTAAATTGTCATCTCCATCGCCATCATCATCATCATCATCTCCATCATCATCTCCATCTCCATCATCATCATCATCATCATCATTCAATCATCATCTCCGTGATCTCCATCATCATCTCAATCATCATCAATATGATCATAATTCTTCCGACACAACGCTTACCTCATCTGCGCCGACGATGAAGAACAATGACGCATAGCGTCTGTACGCGATGTTGTATCCCTTGTACTCCAGGAACGAGCACTGCAAGGATAACGTCCATCAGCTTACCAGGTGGGACGAGCATGGAGCTGGAGGCAGTAGAAGCAGGAGCAGGTGCAGGAGCAGGAGCAGATCGGCAACGAGCGACTCTCACCTGCTGCTCCCCGCGCATGAGGCATCGCCTGACTATGTCGGCTTCCTGTGCTGACCTCTCCTCCACCGTCAGGTCCCTCCGCTCCTCGTAATACCGCGCCAGGCGCGTCTGCCCCTGCCCCTCAAGCTGTCAGAGGAGGATGAAGAAGCAGGGAAGGCTCGCCTGCTTGTTGACGACGATCAGGAACTTGATCATGGCTGTGAACAGACGACGTAAGCTTCTCCTCCTCCCTCTCCTCCTGTCTCCTCCTCTTTCCTCCTGCCTCCTCTTCCCTCCTCCGTGCTTGCCACCTACTTCCTCCCTCCCTGCCTTCGCCTCCCTCCTCTCCCCCTTGTTCCCCTTCGCCCTCCTGTCCTTGCATTGCCCCGCCTCCCCCAACAAAACCCCAAAAGATTATGATCTGGATTATGATGCTGTTATGATGATGCAGCGCACAGTTAAGGGAAGGAGAGGAATGAAGAACGAGCAGGAGGAGCAGGAGCAGGAGCAGCAGGAGCAGCAGGAGCAGGAGCAGGAGCAGGAGAAGGAGCAGGAGCAGGGGCAGGAGCAGCAGTAGCAGCAGCAGGAGCAGGAGCAGGCAGTAGCAGGAGTGATCACTGACTGCTTTCGCAGCAAGAGGAGGAAGGAGATGTATTCAGAATGAGCCCCTGCAAGAGCTCCTTGACCACCTTCGCTCGTCATCAGAGGCCCTTCCTCCTCCTCCTCCTCCTCTCTTCCATCCTCCTCCTTCTTGTCGTCGTGGTATCATACCTCGCTCATCCATCAACGAATGAGGAGGAACTTGCCCAGAAACTTATCCGCTCCCGCATGCTCGACAGGTGACCACCGCCAACACCTGCTGCTGCACCCCCTCCTCCTCCTCCTGTCCCTCTCTCTCCTCCTCCTCTTTCTCCCGCCCCACGCCATTCCCCTCTGCATTCTAACCAAACGAAACTATGGTCAGGCAGCTGCGTCATGACAGCCATGCGCACGATGACGCGAAGCTAAAGCGTCTGCTGGTGAACTCTACAACCTCCTCCCTCCCTCCCTCCCTCCCTCACTCACTCACTCACTCACTCAATCCCTCTGATGCTCCTCAGGGCGCCTTGAAGTCGACTGGCAGGAGGATGAGGAGGGAGGACGAGTCTCTGAGCGTGATGGTGAACCCTTCCTCCCCTTCCACCGCTCCCCTGAAAGACCTGCAGGAGAAACTGACCAGGGACAGAGAGAGGTCCGTCCTCCGCCTCCTCCACCTACAACGCAAGCTCGCACGTTCACGCACCAGGTTTCCTCCTTCCCTCTTTCTCCTCCTCCCTCATGCTCTGCCGCAGGCGACCCACACGGGGGGAGGAGGAGGGAGAGCGAAGAGACGAAGAGCGTCGGAGGAGGGGGAGGAGATGGAGATGAAGAAGACAACAGGAAAAGTGGCTGCGAGCACAGGCAGGAATGCAGAACAAACCTTGTAATAAACATGAACCTCACATACACCTCCTCCCCCCCCGCCGCCCCTCCTCCTGCTTCCCTTCCTGCTCCTGCTCTGGCAGCTCTCCTCCCCTCCTCACACACTTCACTTGTCGCGCTCCTCAACTTCGCTTCTCGCGGTGGTGGAAGGGGCTCCTCAGGTGCGGGTAGGTATGCTCGCCCTGCACGACATCGTCTAGCTCCATCCTCCTGCGAGACTAGTCACGAGGACAGGGAGGACGCGGGAAATGTAGAGGAGAGGAGAGGAGCACGAGGGTGGGGGGGAGGGAGAAGAAGAGAGAGGAAAGGGGGGAGGAAGGGGGCAGGGGAGGATAGGGAAGAGGGGGAACGAAAGAAGTGGGGAGGGGGAGGAGGTTGAGGCTGCGGCAGCAGGAGGCAGAGAGGAACAAGGAGAGCGGAAGAGAACTTGACGCCACCTGAGCTCGTTGAGGGCCCATCGCCTGTAGATCCTGAGCATGCAAGTCAGACTCCTCCTCCTCCTCTCTGCCAGAGCCATCCCAATGCTCCAGTCCTCTTCCCCTCCCCTCCCCTCC